GGAGTGAGAACATTTTATCAAAGCAGCGCAGACAGAAAATCGTTATTAAACTCACCCAACTAAAACTCCTGGAGAGGTCATTTCCTGTACCGAGTGGGATAACTCCAACGGGAGGAATATATGTTTTACCGTCTTTGTGAAGCTCACCGAGACATCCAAGAACCCAACCAACTGTACCATCACCACCTGCCACCTATTATCATCATCATCGACACTAACTTAACAAATCGAATTCCATTTGCTAATAGTAAAAAACTCAAGCTCTGTAAATATGTAATTATACTCACCATAATCCGTATCCTTTCTCTGCATTCTCTTGCACACTCATCTCCTCTCGCTGCAGCTGTCTCCAAACACGCCAAGCCGTACCGTACAAATTCATGGGGATTCACTTCTGTGAGATCAAATACCTGTAATTACAGAATCAACATGAGCTCATAAACCAAAACTACAAAATATCAAAAAAAATAAAAACACAAAAAAAAACTTCACAAAACTCCAAATTATGTGACTCATCAAACAGCAACATAAATTTCCCTACCTAACACACTTGTCGGTCCTAACCAAGAAATGAAACTTTTCGCCATTTCAAAGCCAACAAAAAGTTTCAACTTTCACTACCAAAGAAACTTTTTACATAAAGCTAGTCAAATCCTACACAAGAATCTGAATCTTTTAAGCCAGAAAAAAAAAGTTTATATAACTTTCCTTAAGAATAATGTCATAGCTCTCAGATCCAATGATTCTACTTCCCACTAAACCCTTGGATCAGAGTGATTCCATTCACAATCTAAAACACACACAAACCCAGTGAAAGTAAAAACGAGACAGTAAAAAACACAAAATCTAGATTTATCAATCTCTCTAAGTCTCCAAAACTTCATAAAAAAAAAAAAACAAGACCTGTTCTTGGGTCATCAATTGTTGAAGCCTCTCTTTAAGAACAGGACCATGACGACCTCCACTTTTCGGGTTAATGAAAACAACCATCGGTGCATCAGGAGCCACATCTCCAGGAAGTAGCAAATGATCAGGAATCGCCGTCGAATCTCTCCGCTTGATGCAATCTCTCATAGCTAATCGAAGATACTCAGGCATCGCTAATCTCTTACGAAGCTCTTCTCTGTCTACACCGACCCACGAAATGTTACCTAAACCGCCGCAACCTCTCATCTTCACCGCATCATCAGTCGTCGTCTCCGATGGTCTTTCCGCCACGAAATTAGTCGTCGACGCTTCGCCGACGGATCTCGGCGTCTCCATTACGAAAAAAAAAACAGATGATCAAATGCGTTCAAAGACTCGAAATTTATCGAATTTGAGAAGTGGGTTTTTGCGTTCAAAAGACGATGACAGTTTGGTTTTTTGTGTTTTTTTAGATTACTTTTCGAAGACAGAGCAAATCGGTGTGTGCATATTTAAATGTGTGACGACGATTTTGCCGAGAAAGTTTGTTTGTTTATGACTTTTATGCGTTTTTTTTAACGAAAATGCCCTTGTGGGAACTACTAAATTACAGAACTACCACCTTTTAAGTCTTCTTGATTCGTTGTTAAAAAAACAATTGTTTATCATCATAAGAATTTACTGCAAGTGAAGACAAATACAGAAGAACAAAGATCTCTTCTTAATTCCTTATTAATCTCACTAATTACTTTTTAAAATCCAACTTACCGTGGACTGCAAGTTAGAATTTTGGATGATGGGATCAAAATAAAACAAATCTTATCCTATTGCATTGTCCCAAAATAG